ACCAGCTGCACGTAACCCAGTTGTTCTCAGTATGAAAACAGCATGTTATATACTCACAACCCGCCCAACCCTTGCATGAAGGTTTATTTCCCAGAAAACACCTTCCACGCCAGGAATCATTCACAAACACCACAGGCCGTCAATGCCACAGACAACTAAATTGGGAAATGCACTGACAGTACGAAGATAAATTGGCCCTCAATAACAAACCAGCGCTTTGTTTTATATCGCAGGCAAATCTTGCTTTGTCACCGGTCCATCGAAACACACCCGCCTCTGCTCCAATCTTTCCGCCCGCAGCGTGAAGTGATCGGGCAGGTAAAGAGGAAGAGCCAAACCCATCCATATTTCATGTGTTCAGCCTGAGGGAGCCAATCTGCCTCGCATTTACATCCTTCTGTGTCCATCATCATCTGTCAGCGCGGCGGCGGCGGCGGTGAGACAGCACTCTTTAAATGAAGTAACACCGCTGATCCTAATTAAGAAAATGACATTAAAGGATGGCCAACACTCAGATCTCCAGCACAGAGCATGAGGTGTCTTGTTTGGAGATGAATGGGAATAAACAGCCCTCCTGTCTGGATCCTCGCAGGCCTGCCAATGTTTGTCACTCGCGGGGAGCCGCATGACAGAGGATATTTAAAGATCTGGGATTTTTTTCTGCCTCCAGGAGATGTTTCGTGATTAAGCTTGCTCCGTGAGCCGAAAGGAGCCGTGGAGGGAGTTTTGTGGGCTTGTGTCATTGAATTGGGCAATTTCGTTACTGAAGTGTTTGACATTTGGAATGACTGGTTTCTCAGAGGTACAGATCTGGAGAAAATCATCGAGAGTCAGATAGACTCGACAGTCATTATCATATAAAAAACATACAGGGTTATCATTAGGAATGCATGCGCCACTTATAAATTTGTCTTTCGATACTGATATAACCGCTTATTCAGAAGGACATCTGCCGATACCAATCATTTGGATTTGCTTAAAGGGGTAGTTCACCACATGATTTACTCACCCTCAAGCATTCCTAGGTTATATTAAAACAATGCCCTGGATCTTCCCAGATTTATAATGGCAGTGAATGGGTGTTGATATTCTGAAGTCCAATGAAGTGCGTCCATCCATCATAAAAAAAGTGCTTCACATGACTCCAGGTGGTTAATAAAGGCCTCCTGAATCTAATTGATAAAATGTCCATATTTAAAACTTTATAAACCATAATTTCTAGCTTCTGCTAACTGTCGTATGCGTGTACTTGATAAAGTGGCGTTGCAGCGGATGACATAGATAGCCAAACAAAACACCGGTCACGAATTAGAAGTGCAAAATGAGGATTTGTAAAGAAAAATATCGGAGGATTTCAATATAAGCCAAGAGGAGACTGGTTTTCCTTTGCTGTTAACAAAAAAATTGGCTCTTGCAAGACTAGCATATTCTTACGCTACGCCTACATCCAACGTCATCCGCTGGAACGCCACTGTCTCGTGAACACACGTACAACAGTTAATGGAAGCTAGAGATTACATTGAATCCTTTTATTAACCCCCCCTGGAGCCGTGTGGAGCACTTTTATTATGGATTTATGAGCTTTTATTGGACTTCAAAATCTCAACAGCCATTCACTACCATTATACAGCTTGGAAGAGTCAGCACATTTTTTTAATATAACTTCGATTGTATTTGTCTGAAAGAAGAAAGTCATATACACCTAGGAGGTGAGGGTGAGGAAATCATGGGGTAATTTTCATTTTTGGGTACCATCCCTAATGCTGTAAACTATACCGGAACCCTCTCGTTTGGTATATTAGAAGTTAGACTATTAGAAATGAACTATTATACTAAACGGATATAATGATCACGCTCAAACAAAAACTGAAACATTTGTCTAAAACTCGGTTGCACATCATAAAAGATTGCCTTCATGTCAGATTTGTTCAAACATACATATACAATTAACAGTAAATAAGCACCCTCTAGTGTTTTTATTGTTAACTAACAAAGTGTGAGCACTGGATAACTTTCCTGAGGTAGGCTAAATGCAACGTTACATATTCACAAGCTGATTTATTTGACATCTTTTGGTGGTTGAAACACTGAATGATCAGTTACCTGAGACGTGATAAATTTTTTCTTTCAACAACTTCTGATGTTCCTTCATGTTTATTTCGTGCTGTAACTAGTAGTAAACAGAAAGAGATTATCGATCCACATGCCGCTTGAACTACAGTTGCTACAACGATCTGTCACAACAAATTAAAAACACAAAACACATAAAAAACACATTTATTTTTAGAATTTTGTGACAAAATGGACAGAATTTGAGAGCTGAGATTTTGTTTCTCATTAAAAGTAGCAAAGCTTCTGCGATTATTGGATGGGGGAGTGCGGTGTAAATAATGTTTGGTGAAGGGACAACCACGGATCTGGCAACCCTGACATGAACTAAGAGTGATTCAGAGGGTCAAATAGATCCCCAAATAGAGCTATTTTTAAATTGTGTTATGCATAATGAATTGTTTGATACATCGGTGCATCCCTATATTACAATTTGTCTAAATAAAACTAGAACTAAAACTTTAAACCATAAAAAAACATTCATTACTTGAAACAAAAATCATTTATTTCTAGTTAGGAAACATTTACCTAAACCATTTAAAAACTAAAAACTAATAAAACTGTATAGAAATATTAAAAACTAATAATAATCAAACAAAAAATAAAATCGAATTAAAAATATTAAAACTTTATTAGTATATCAGTGATACTAAATTACACTGCTTTTGTACATCTGGGATTTTCCTAAAATTAAATTAAATAGATTTTTTTTACACATTAAAAGTTCAAAAATTAGAGTATTATTGCAAAATAAATGCTGTTTTTTAAACTTTTTATTCACCAAAGAATGCTGAAAAATCAGAAATGTTTCTTGAGCAGTAAATCAGCATATTAGAATGATTTCTGAAGGATCACACTGAAGACTGGAATAAAATTCAGCTTTGATCAGAGCAATAAATTACATTTAAAATTATTAAAATTTAATTACAATAAATTACATTTTTACATACTGGTAAAAAATGTATAGCCTGAATGCACTGTAAGTCGCTTTGGATAAAAGCGTCTGCTAAATGCATACATTATTATTATTAATTATTATAATTTTTTACTACTTATTCACATAGAAAAGTTATTTTGACTTGTAATAATATTTCACAAATTTTACTGTATTTCTGATCAAATAAATGCAGGCTTGGTGAGCAGAAGAGACGTTTTTCAAAAACAAAAAAAATCTTACTGACCCCAAATCTTTGAACAGTAGTGTATATTTTCCTATCTTTACATGTAAATGTAGTCAAGTCAGTCTTAACAGATTATGAGGGTTAAATCAAATCTGTTTCATTGCTTGGCACGGCCCTTGAGATCTTCAGATTTGCAGTCAGTGGAGCTCAGAGGAGACGGACAGCAGCTGCGTCCAGAATGAGAGGAATGACACCCTTTGACCCGCTTTATGTTGCATCTATGGCGGCAGATTTTTATACATTCACACTATGAGCCCTCAAAGTTTCAACAGTTCAACATTAGATGTGTTCAAGCCAATTCCTAAAACCACAAGTGTCCTCAGAGAGAGGTGATTCAATCATGAAGCACATTAGTTAATGTTTTGTCTCTGTTGAGGCTCAATTGAAGAATCAGAAAAGCTCATGTGCTTTATTACAGACGATATGATGACGCTGAGGAACGTCCTCTAGTGGTCAGTTATGATTTACATCTACAGACACTGAATTCAGGTTCAAATCTACTTCAGTTCACTCTATGCATTCATACTGATGAAGAGATTTTAATATTATTTTTAGGAAACAGACATTTATCTTTCATGCTGTTTTAGAAATGAGCAATAAATGTCAGTAAACAATACACTTCTGAATTCCTCTTTCATTTCAACTTCACCTGAACTTATTTAAAATTTTATTTAAAAATAGATTACATCTATAAAATCTATAGTTAATTTAACTGGGTTTATGACCATCTATTTCATTTTATTTTAGTGAAAGTGGACGTTTATTATCACTACTCGTCAAAAACTGTAGTAAAAACCAAATCAGCTTTTTTTGACAAGAGTATATTAAAATGTATTTATGATTAATTGGGATACTGTAGATCAAATGTTGTCAAAATTCTAAAAACAACAACAACAAAGCAATGCTGTATGTGAATTAATAGCTGCCACGATTATTAAACAATATATTAAACTATATTTATAACAAATTATAATTTAAAATAAACAAATATATAAAATGGGAAAAAATTATAAAATGTCCTCTCTTTATATCAGTAGTTTATATCAAAACTGTGAAAACCATTATGCACTGATAATATGAAATTATAATTATAGCATAGATGAGGTTTTGTCAAAATTATGAATATATATATACTGTATATATATATATATATGTGTGTGTGTGTGTGTGTGTGTGTATATATATATATATATATATTAGCTGTCACAGTTAAATGAGTTTATTTATTAAGTAATATCTATAAATTATGACTGTAATAAATTTGAAAATTTAAATGTGGCACAATTTCCTGCTATCGAGTGCCTTTTGTCACTGAAAATAGAGGTTTATGATTGCTACTCTGGTCAAAAACGAGTTAAAACCAGTTTGGAAAAAGAAAAAAAACTTGCAAAACACACATAGAAAAAGTATTACTTTTTTTATTTATTATTATAATAGTATAATGATATTATAAGAATAGTAATAATAATAATACTTACAAGTAGTAATATTATAATTAATAGGTGGTTAGCATAAAATAAGTTTTTTTTTTCAAAATTATGAAAAATTCACTATCATGCTGTATTGTTTATGAGTTTATAGCTGTCAGAGATTAAAAAAAAATATATTAAAAATGAGTTATTTATTAAATAATATATTGATAAATCACAATTAATTCTAAATGTAAATGCACTTAAAAATGTATAAACTAAAATATAAAAGTGGCACAATTTCCTGCTGTATGTCACTACAAAAATGAAGTTTATGAGTGTAATGAAAAAATCTAAACGGCTTTTGGACACAGAATTTCCAAAATACACATAGAAATTACTTTTTTTTTTAATAAATGCAACAATACTCCAATTCTGGTAACAGAATTCAAGTTTTTACAGATTTGGTTTACAAAAGGAATCACGCATGTAACTGAGCAGAAATCTTCCCTATTGAACAACTTCAAAAAGTGACTTAAATAATACAGTACAAAAATAGACTGCTTCATCATGAAACGACTCATTCAGTAACAGTGGCACTGTAGTCATAGAAAAAACAACAATAATGTAAAAACAATAAAAGATCCTAGATGTAGCTTTCGCTGTTGAGTAAAAACCAAACAACATTACATTCACTGGCATTGTGTGTGTGTGTGATACTGTGTGAAGGCACTGCGGTTTACAGCATAGCGGCTCACGCCAGACCCGCGTCTTTAGCCATCCCGTAGAAGATTCCTTTCTGAGCCATCAGGTTAGTCGGTGTGTCGAACTCTGCGATCTGTCCCTTGTCCAAAACGAGCACTCTGTCACAAGAGAAACGCACATGAAGCGCCTTCAGAAGAATGATATGGGTTGGTGATTTACCGCTAGACATGCCTTATTGGGCTTGAACCCAATGAGTGAGTTGTACTGTACACACTTATGAGTTGTAAACACAGCTGTTTATGTCTTAAGTGAAGGTAAATAGTTGAGAAAGAAAATGCAATGCATGAGTGTCAGTATATTAGATCCGTGCATTAGGTCTTAAAGTGACAGCAGCCTAATAAACCTGCTGCTGTCATTAATGTTATTCAAACAATAAAAGAGAAAATCTCTCGCTGCTCTCGAATTAAATCACTTTTGTATGGAATTGCATTTCCACCAATTAATAAAGAAATAGATAATTGAGACTTTTTGTCGCGCAATTCTGACTTTTTTCTCACAATTTTGAATTTTTTTTTAGATATAAACTGAAAATTAAATCATAATTTCAAGACTACTTCATCCTACAAACGATCATCAAATGCAAAAATGCTATAAAATGCATCATATTATTTGTGGAACAAAATGTGACGTGGTCCAGCAAAGCAGACCGTATTTTTGGAATCTGCAGCTCAAATGTAGTAAGAAACAAGAATTGTGTTTGCAGATGTGATTTGATGTACCTGGTGTAGTCCATGATGGTGTTGAGTCTGTGAGCGATGGTGAAAACGGTGCAGTCCTCGAACTGTGTGCGGATGGTGGACTGGATGAGATCGTCCGTCTCCAGATCGACGGCAGCCGTGGCTTCATCCAGGACCAGGATCCTGGTCTTCCTCAGTAAAGCTCGTGCCAAACACACCAGCTGCCTCTGACCCACACTGAACACACAACAACACAGGATTCATAACGCGCTATACTGTACATAAATACACTCATAATGCATCACACTTACAGCAAATATAGAGGAACAAATTATGCATGAACTAGGGCTAGATGATTTTAATGTTCTTAGTATTTTTTGCCTGAACCCTCTGATGCTGCTTTTGTGGCAGTCCAATTATCTATCTATCTATCTATCTATCTATCTATCTATCTATCTATCTATCTATCTATCATCTATCTATCTATCTATCTATCATCTATCAATCTATCTATCTACTATCTATCT